AAAGTGTTAGCAATTCAGTTTTGACCTCGTCACTTTTATTTAAATTTTCAAATCGCTTTATCATGCTAAAATGCCTCTTGCATAGATTGCTTTGTGTCAAATTATGCTTTTACATTTGTGAGCATACTCATCAAAAAATGATTTCTGCGATAAAAAATTGCAATTAAAAATATAATTATATATATATATATATATATATATATATTAATTAATTTATATATAACATGTATTTTAAATATACTGTATATTTAAATTTGAAGGTTGAAAATTGTTTCCAATCTTTCTGTAAGTAAATAAAACCAATCAATAAAATATATATATATATATATATATATATATATATATATAAATATATATTTAAATTGGTTTTGACAATATTATTAATAAAAATGACAATGTATAAACTAGATGTTGTTTGAAATTTTATATTCAAATTATTAGTAGATAATATTTTATATATAAAAAAAGTTAAATTTACAAATATAAAACTTTTTTATTTATAAATTTATAAGTTTTAATCACTTATTTGATTATTTATCATGTCATGTTATTTTTCAATACAAGTTTTTAAATTAAAAAATTTGAATTGCATAATATTTATCTCTTACTAATTGATGAATTGTTTATGTCAAATGGTAGGTCTTTAAAAGATTATATTTTGTCTCAACCTGATTATTTAGATTTATTCATATTTAAAAACAAGTTTATTATTGCTTAATTATGATAAAGAAGAATTGGATAAAGTACATTCAACATTATTCCAATCATTGACTCGTGAACAATTATGTGTTTATGAAGATATCATAATAATTGTATTTTCATAAAAAAGAATATTTTCCTTTTTGTCTGAATATGGTGGTACTAGTAAGACATTTCTTTGGAAATTTTCGTTAAGTGTCATTAAGTTTAAGGAAATGATTGTTTTTAATGTGACTTTAAGTGAAATTGCTTCTTTGTTACTTTCTGGAGGTAAGACAATGTTAAGAAATACAAGTGTGATTTTAAGTCTCACATTGGATAAAAATGAGAAAGTTGAGCAATATTTAAGGAAGTATGACACAACCTCATTCAACATTTTGTATATCTTTATTAATTAACAAGGAATCAACTTGCAATATACTTTAAGGAAGTGCTCGAGCTAAACTTTTGATGGAAACAAAATTGATTATATAGGATGAGGTTCCAATGATGAATATATTATGCTTTGGAGCATTTGATTGAACCTTGAGGGATATTATGAAAGCAACAAATATAGAGGATCATGATAAACCATTTGGTGGTAAAGTTATTGTGTTGGGAGGTGATTTTAGGCAAATTTTGTCTGTTGTTAGAAAGGGATCAAGACATGATATGGTGAAGTCATCTATAAATTATTTTGAAACATGGACAAATTGCAAAGTTCTAAAGCTTTGAGAGAATGTGAGGTTAAATACTATAAAAATAAATGAAAGTGCAAAAGATACAAGAGAATTTGCTGATTGAATATTAAATATTGGAGATGAAGATATGCCTTTGAATGAAAATGACGAATGACATATTGACATACTCAAAGATTTTTTAATTGAAGGCAATGAAACACCTTTACTTTCATTAGATAATTTTGGTTATCCTCATTTTGTACATAACATGATGTTTGCTGATAATTTTGATGATAAAATCATGCTTTGTCTTACTATTGATGTAGTTGAGAAAGTTAATAATTTTATTTTATCTTTGATTCCTAATGAAGAAAAAATATACTTGAGTTCTGATACACCATATCAATCAGATGAGGATCAAGACATGCAAGGTGAATGATTTACATCTAAACTTTTTAATGACTTCAAATGTTCAGGTATTCCAAGTCATTGACTCAAATTAAAAGTTAGTGTACTCGTAATGTTGTTAAGAAACATTGATCAAACAAATGATTTATATAATAGAATAAGATTGCAAGTGAATGATTTGGGAAAAAATATCATTTCAGCTATTGTGATTGCTGAAAAAAAATATTGGAGGAAAAATCTTAATACAAAGAATGAATTTGATTTTTTATGATCCTAGATTTCCTTTCAAGTTTTAAAGAAGATAATTTTCATTATCATCGTATTTTGCAATGACAATCAATAAGGGTCAAAGTCGATCGCTCTCCAAAGTTGAATTTTATCTTCCGCATCAAGTATTCACTCATGGTAAGTTTTACGTGGTCATTTCCAGAATCAAACACAAAGAAAAGACTAAAAATGTTTCGATGAAAAAGGAAATGTACATGTATTAAAAATGTAGTATATAAAGAAAATTTTCAAAACCTTCAAACACATGCAGGTACACTATACTACCAAAAACTATATATTTATTTTATTTATTTGTTATATATTTTTTAATTATTTAGTCTATGAAAATGCAGATTTATGATATTCATTATCACTTATAAATTAATGATCATGAAATTATAAAATTGGTAAGTTTTATCGACAATCATATAATTAATTTATAGATTATAATTTGTCATTATTCATTATTTTTCTTCTTTCATTATTTAATTGAGTGATTATTTAATTGAGTGATATATATTGTGTAGTATAAATTTACAATATTTCTCAATATATTTATCTTTTTCATGCAATATATCAAATTTATAGATTATTATATTAATCTATTTTTGTTTGTTATTATTGCATATTATATAAAAAGGGTTATACTATCGTATTTATTCAGTGTTATAAAAATAAAACAAGTATTTTTGAAATTTTGTATTACATAATTTCATTCCATTTATCTTTAATCTATTGTAAGATTTTTTATTTTATACTTTTTTTTAATATAATTTTTTATTTAAAAATTTAAGATCATTTATAAAATTTATTTTTTATTTTTATCTTTTTTTTTATTATTAATATAAATTATTAATATTAAAATATTATTTATTATTAATAGAAAAATTTTAAAAACCCCGTACATTACTAGGTGATGATACTAGTTTGTTTATATTGAAAAGAAGCAAAACTTAGCTTGTAACCAGTATTGGGCTTGGGCCGAAGTTCCAACTCCTTATATCCAATACTATGTTCACCCCACCCTCATTCAATAAAAGACGCGGGTTCGGATCTACAAGAGGTTAATTTTAAATTTTTAATGTCCATATACATCTTTTTTCCCTTTGCAAGTTAAAACACCAAACACTTCACTGCACTATTCTTCTTATTCAACTTTTTCCCCCTCTTGTCTGCATTCTCTTTCTCTAATTTCTTGTTCTCTTTCAGTAACGACCACCATCATTTTCGTCTCTACTGTAAATCTAAAATTCCTTTCGTAAACACTTATTTTCTTTATGCCTTCTTGTAATTGTTTTATTGAAATGGTAGTGGTATAAAAACTTATTTTTTCAATTATCAAATCATCCATTTCAATATATAAAAAATAATTAATTCGAAAATAATAGTAAAAAACGAATTTTCATTTTTTTTTCATACACATCAAAGTCACGGAGAAGAAAAATATCATTTACATATCCACCTAATTTATCAATTTTTGAAAAGAATTATGAAACAAAATGGATGTGTTCATAAAAAATATCAAATTTATTATGATGAATTGTGTACTAGATTAAGGAATATTTCAAATGAGTTAACCTAAATTAATAGATGTAGTGGTATTTTTTATATTTAATATTTTTATTTTTACTAATAATTAACATGCTCTATTAAAAAAATTAAATTTAATAAATTTCACTTATCTTATGAAATAAAATATTTAAAAGATAAAATAATTTGAAACAAAAATATTTTAAATTAAATATATATAAATTTCTTGGAAATAATAAAATCATTTGTCTAGACACATTTTATGAAAATTTTATGGATTTAAATCTAAAAAATAGTTAAAAATTATACTTTGACCATTTGAGATTTATGCTTTATTTGCTTTCATGGGTGGACTGTAGATGGAAATTGAATTAAGCTCATTTGCCAGAAAAAATGTCTGTTTGATTCAAGAGAAATACTAAGATTTGGAGTGATACATTATAGTTAAAATATCCTCCCAGATAATGGAAATACAAAGAAAGTCTTGTTATAAAAAGACAAAACTGCCCATATTTATATGTAATTATATATCAGAATAATGATTGAAGTTTTTATCTGTAATAATACGATTATACAGAAAAAAAAACCTTAAAGTTTATATGTTTGATATTGTGAATTGAAAATTCATAATGATTAAATATTTTAGTTTATATTTATTTTTATTAGATTTTAGTCAAGAATATTTTCTAATTTAATTTATTAATATTTTTATCAAATCAATCTTATCTATTATCAACTTTTTTTTTATCCAAACAATCTTATTTTTATTAATTTTTAAAATTAATTCTTCCAATCCAAAATATGTAGTTACTCAATCTCTCTCTTCAACAAATTGTATAATATATTGATTCTCAAAAGGTAATCACAACTAACCAAACTTTTGTTCAACTTATTCACAAGAAATACACAGGGTGCTCTGTTTATCAAAATTTGTTGCCCAGTTCTTTTAATATAATAGATATGCAAACACAGTGTTTCTCTTAATAATGATTCTGTAAATAAATACATAAATAAATGTATGAAATTGTTGTAGTCTCTATAAATTATTAAAATTTAAAATTAGAAGTTAATGATTTTATCATTCATCTTGTTAGTCTTGTGAAGATAAGATTTGTTGTTTTTTTTTTCATATGATTATTACGTGAGAAATATTGATTTGAAAATAATTTATTAGATTAAATTTCCTTTTTGTATTTCTTTTTAGTTCTCCCCAATTCTTTCATCGTGTTCTCTTTTTCTTTTTTTCTTATTCATGATTATAGTGAAATTTGTTCTTACTTTTTCATCTTCATTATTGATATTTGTAATAATTCGGTCTATTTTTTGAAGATGCATCGATGATAATAGATAGGGAGGGGTTTATCCTGGTACATTGGATAAAACATTGCATGAGAAATGGAGAATATTGGTGGAATGTTTGAAGTCGTGCAAATTCAAATGGTTGAATCATTGGTAATTCCTAGTCTTTTTTACGTGATTTTGTTTCAATTATTTTAATTATTGTATTAACTTATTAAGATAGAGATATAAGATGGGTATTTCAATTTCAGTCGTAGGTTGATCAGATGATTGTTGATGAAAATGCAAGAAAGATGATAGTGTTGCAATGTCGGAGTCCCATTTGAGTTGGAATTCCATGCGTTCAATCTCTCATCAGTCCTCTTGAGGTGCGAGCATCACCACCCTTCTGAAGGGGTGCAAGAGAAGTGGACAACTGGAGCAAGTTCACGCTTCAATCATCCACCGAGGCCTCGAGCAAGACCACTTCCTCATCTCCCTCTTCATTCCACTCTCCCACACCCTTTCCACTCTCTCCTATTCCTCCTCCGTCTTCCTCCGCGTCCTCACCCCTTCCACCTTCCTCTGGAACACTCTCATCAAATCCCATTGCCAAAACAACTTCTTTTCCCACACCCTCTCCGCCTTCTCATACTGGTTAGCTTGATGTCGGCTTCGGCGCAATTAGGACATTTAGAACTTGCTCAATGGGTTGATTCTTTCGTAATCAAAAGCTGTATTGATCTTCAGCAGGACCATGTAATTGCCGCTTCTGGATATGAATGCAAAGTGTGGAAACATGGAGAGAGCGTTGAAATTGTTTGAGGAAAAAACTAAACGGGATCTAGTGTTGTATTGTTCCATGATACAAGGGTTGTCAATTCATGGGCGTGGGGAAGAGGCCGTGAATCTGTTTAAAGGATGCTGATGGAAGGGCTATCTCCGGATGAGGTGGTCTTCACAGTCTGTAGTCATGCTGGGCTTGTTGATGAGGACCGGGAATACTTCCAATCCATGAAGGAAAGATACTACATTAGCCCTTTACCTGACCACTATGCGTGTATGGTTGATCTTCTAAGCCGGTCATGACATATAAGGGATGCTTATGAACTTATAAAATTAATGCCTGGGAAGCCTCATGCTGGTGCATGGGGTGCACTTCTTGGGGCATGTAAACTCTACGGTGATTCAGAGTTGGGAGAGATTGTTGCTAATCGACTTTTTGAGTTTGAGCCTCTAACTGCCGCTAACTATGTGTTGTTGTCCAACATCTATCCAGCAGCAGAGCGATGGATTGATGTTTCCCTTGTGAAAAGTAAGATGAGGGAAAGGAATGTGCGAAAGATACTCGGGTCCAGTAAAATTTAGTCTAGGGCCGACTCTTTTTGGCGTATGAAGTTCGGAATTGGGTAATCTTGGTTGCATGGAAGTTGATATGAATTCATTTTCAGCTGGTCTGGAAGCTTTATCAGTTACTCCATGCTTGTTAAACTGTCAATGGAGAAATATCTATTGATCAATTTTTCTTCATACGCTAAACATACACTGCTTTCTCTCCTTTTTATAATGGCATAAATCGGGAAGAAAAAGATTTGGAACCCAACTTTTGAGTTCTGATTTCATTCATAGTTATCATTTTGCCCCAAGACGGAAGGGATACTTTGCATGAAGCATGAACAATTGGTAAGTTTACTCGAACTTTGCTTAGTTGATTGACTAATGCAATTTTCTAATGTAAGTAACCTATGTATGTCAACTTATGATATCTTTTTTATGGAATTATCTATTCTTGAAAAAGTTTGGTAGTAAACTTCAAATTTTGAAAAAATTATGATTTCATTTGGCCTCCAGCTAGTACACATTTGAGTTCTTTAAGCCTAAATTTGCATTTTCAATTGCTTAATTGGAGGCTACAAATGGACTTTAGGCCTAACTCAATCTGCATTTTCATGCCCCGTGGTTTTCGTGTCTGAAAAGGTAAATAATGTAAACATTGAGTTATGGAGTTTGGAATATGGTTGTATTAGTTGTTTTGTTACATTTTATTCAATATGATAGACAAGTTCAATTGCTAACTTACAAATAAATGCATTTACGCATCTATTATAGAAAAGAATATGATGTTAATCCTTTTCAGTTCCCTGAAGCCTCTCAGAAAATATAAAATATATTAATACAATTTTCTCCTTTAATATTGACTGCCATGAGACTCTTTTAGTGATGAATTTTCCAGTATCAGATGCATTCTACTTATGTGCCTCTTTTTGTAATAATTTCACGTATATTAATTTTCTCGTGCAGACAGAATCGGTTGGTGATCAATAAAAAAATTACAGAGGCCTCCTAAGTTTCAGCTATAAGGTATTCACATCATACCAATATTCACACATTCTCACAATTTCATTGGAAAAGAGGGCGATGGTCAGTCAATGGTGTAGTTATTCTTTTGCCTTCGTTTAGAAAAGAAAATTTCCGATATGATTCAGTCAGGTTATACTTTCCTAGTATATGAGCTACGTTATGCACAGTGACTGAATCACGCCAAATAAATATAGCATAACCAAGATTGTCTTTGGACAAAAATATTGAATACCGAATTGATTCCTCAATTTAAAAAGTAAAAGGGGAGTCTTATTACTTTGTATTATACTTGTATATTATGCTTTTATCATACTCTCTTTGTCGGAGTTGAAATGGAATTTTCAACTTCAGTAAGCCTATAAATAGGGCCAATAACAAATTGGTTTTGTGTGCCAGTGGCACCAATTTTTGCTTGTTATATAATGGGAGGTCCAAGATCATCTTTATTGTTTATGCTTATTGTCCATTATCCATTCATGTTGCCAAACATATCTAAGACAACATCTTTTGCAGCATCGTGAGACAGACTTACATGGATGTGCTTTTATCTACCTAACCTTTCCAACAACCATAACTTATTATCTGTGAGTTCTTTAAGATGCGTTCCTTTCTTTTCAAATTCGGGGGAATAATTATATGGTAAGATGGCATGCTGGATTCTGCATGGAGATTTTTAAGTTTTTTTAGTTAAAATTGGCACGAGGAAGGTCTCTATGGTTTGAAGATAATTCTACTGCAAAATTAATGGAGAATCTAGCACAGTTTTGTTTATGCCCAGATGCCGCGGAGGCAAAGTGCTTATCTAAACCCGTTACCATGAGCATTTTGTCCGCGAAAACCTTGGATATTTTCGGGTCAAATTGTGGCTGCTGCAGCTAAACATGCATTCGACTAGTTACGTTTTTTAACATTAGACTGCATACTCACTCTCATTTGTAATGAACTTTGAAAAGAAAATGTATTTGGCTTCGAATTGTTCAGTAGCTAGCTTTCTGATGTAATCAGGAGTTTGAAAAATAATGGAACCGAGCGGAACCATTCTGAACCAAACCATAAAAAACCGAATCATATGGAAAAGAATGAAATCAAAACCCAACTGTTTCTCTAAAACTATTTGATTCAAATTGAACTATTTTTATAAAATGGTGTCGAAATTGTCTTAAAAATACATCAGTGTTAACCCCGGCCTCCCGAAAGTTTAGTTTTCAATAAATTCATAGAAAACCAAGCTTTTGGACCATGAACTTTTTAATGACAAACCATCATCATCATTAGTTTTCAATACGTCTTTTGTTAATGAAAACATGACCATGTCGTGTTGTAGTTAAATTGGTATATATGGTCCATGTGGAAGACGTAGCCAGCAACTGACCGGTAACTTACGATCTCAAATTTCTGTAGTTTAGGAATCTCTATAATTGTCTGACGAATTGCAGTTTTTGGCTTTAAATAGACCAAATCTGTAACACAAAAATTATGTAGTAATAACAACTTATCTCTTCTATTACGAGTTACCATCAGTCCATTTGTTTTACATTTCATCTTGAGGTTGTCTTTTAGTAATGAAAAGGATGTAATAAATAAAATGGAAAAAAATATTTGGTTTTATCACTTGGATTTTTAAAACAAAATAAAGAAACTAATGAAATATGTTTAATATAACTTCTTCCAATATTTTCTTTTTATCTCTTTATATTTAGGAGTATAAAACGAATTCTGGATTTATTTTACCTTATATCATAAAAAAATAAGCAATATTTTATCTCATTTACCACCGCTAAATATTCACAAATGTTCTAACATGAACCTCGGAATATCCGTGAGCTTTAGCAACTTAAATAGCAATGTAATTGGTTATTACATTGTGTAATGTCTCGTTGTTTTGCGTATAAAGCACATTTTCAACCTTTTCCTTGTTAACCTTTTTGGAGTTTATACCATTCAAATATGATTCCTTGTAATTTTTTTAGGTTTACTAGGTTGAAATTTTGGGCCCAAGAAACTATAATTTTGTGGAAAAAACCAAGTGCTGTTTAAAAATATTATGAATTGTTCTACCATTAGCTGTACTACATAAATCTTCATAAAACAATGTTTGGACAATTCATCAACTACACAGTAACTTAAAAATTAATATAAGAGTAAGTAATCCCCATTAATAATATATATTTTATATTACTATTTAATTACAAATTAATGTAAAATCGGTTCACCTTTAAAATATATTCTTCAATATTATTTAAGAATGATCGATAATGAATTTTTTTATGCATAAACTATATGTCAAAATTAAACCCGTAATTAAATAAGTAAACACTACTGTGTTGTAGAGATGATCTATTTATATAAAAGAAATCTTGTTAGATATTTATGGTAAGCGAAAAAGAATATAGAAATAATAAAAAAGAATTTAATATAATCATTTAACATAGTTTTATATAATTTAATAATAATTTTTATATTATATTTTCATTATTGTATTATTATATTATTATATATTGTTATTAAAAAGAATTATCAATATATTATTATTCAAAAATAATAATGAAAGTTAAAAGAAAGAAGAAATCAGGTCTAATATTTTCTAGAAAGTTTGAAAAACAAAAAAATCAAGCAAAAAATAAGAGTGGGGTTTAATTGGGAATATCTTTACCTTTTTCTCTTGGCAACCGAGTGTGACTGTGGATCCGGTACTTGAATTTCGGTTGGAGCAGGCACTACTTTTTCCTGGGCTGCGCTAGGGCAACACAACGTAGATAAGAATCCATCCATCGTTGTTTCTATTTTGTTGTTTTGTTTTATTTTGTTGAGATTGTGCAGCGAGTTATCTCATTCCCACATATGATGACACAACCAACTAAACCGCATTCTGCATGTCCAATTCTTGTTCCCCAAATATCTCGTCTCCCACTCCAATCCAACCTCTCTTGAAAACGCCACAATTACTCATTCATCCAATCACTTCTCCCCCTCTTGAACTTTCTTCACTCTCGCTCCACCCCTTCTCCAATTCGCTGTAAGGTATCATTTTGACAACAACCCACGTTTGCTTTCGGAAGACACGTTTATTTTCCTATTTTTCCGGAACCCCTTTTGCTCTGAATCTGCCTTTTCTTATTTTTGCTCAGGCTTGTCAACATGGAGATCGATAGAGCAATCAGAGAGTGTGACGATTGAAGACTTCAGACCAAGTACAATAATGCCACCTATGTTATTCAGAGAGCTTTGGCTTTGTATTCGTAAGTTGTTCTTTGTCTGAGGAATTGGATATGTTTGCCCCTTTTCTGTTCGTTAGTATAAATCAGAAGAGGAAAAAAGTGTTATGTGCTGTTGACTTGATTTTTGTTGTCAGGTTCTCATTGATAAATTGTTGATTTCTGTTGGATCTATTTAACGAGATTATGGGTGTATTGAATTTCCTTCCTTGATTATTATTGTCTTAGGGGCAAGCAGTTTCTGAAAATGTTTATAATGAGTGTTATCTGAAAGAATGGTTAAATGAGTGCCAGTCTGTGGCGATTTGGTCTATGTTACTGGAGAAAATACATACGATTCAGAAAACTGGATTATATATATATATATATATATATATATATATATATATATATATATATATATATATATATATATATATATATATATATATATATATATATATAAAATTGTATGTATGTTTATGAAGAAAGGACGATAAGTGCTCGTTGATGTACTAAACTACTTAATGACTCTTATTGCATTATACGAAGAGTACTGCATCGGATGATGGAGGAATTTGGAATTTGAAATTTGATTTTCAAGGATGAGTGCATACATCATAGAGTGATGCCCCCTACATTTTGGTCATTTTGATACTTCATTTGCTTGAAGTCATATCCATTTTAAATTATGAATTCAACAAAATATGATTTTTGATGACCATCTATATTTTCAATGCTGATTGTCTGATGTCTGCACGTATAATGTATTTCTTCTTACAGTATTGAGGAGGTTGCATTCAGCTTCAATGGAGAAAAAGATTCAACAGTATGTTTTAATATTTCTTATGTTTTATTTCCCATCAGAATGTATGGCTCATTAATGATGCCAGTGAGCTTTGGCATGCAGGTTTTGTTGCACATACTCAGGGCTGGTTATTTCTTGCATAAAAAGGGCCAAAATAGTGTCAATGGGGATCTAAAAGATTTTCCAATTCGAACAATATATTTTGAGAGCCCTTGTGCATTCCCAGAAATAAACTCATTTACCTATGATGCTGCTGCTACGTGAGTGAAGCTTCTTTCTTTCTATTTTTTTTTTATTTTTTTTAATTTTACTGCAGTTTAGATAATATGTGGAGGTGATATTTTCCTATCTTACTTAATTTCTATTGTTGTTTGTGATTTTTAAACTTGGAGGCTTGTCCTCCTTTAAAGGTGGAGCAACTAACGGATTTTTCTTGAGCAGATATGGGTTGCAAATTGACACCATTAGCTTAGATTTCAAATCTGGTTTGGAGGCTTTGCTAAAGGAAAAACCAATTTGAGCTATCTTCCTTGGAGTTCGAATTGGAGACCCTACCGCGGTATCCTTATTTCTTAACCATGAGACAGTTTTTCTGCAAACTTATGGAAAGCGAGAATTTATTTGAATGTGTTTGAGGTTATGTAAAATCCACAATAAAAAGAAATCCACATTAAAAAGAAATACACAATACACAAACATCTTCCGTGAAACTAAACACACATATATATAGAGTTATAAGGAAATAGCTATGCCACATACTCATTACTCAATAGGTTGCAATCTAGTAAAGATAAAATGGCTTGAACCATCAAAAGAACGATACTTATTATATTATAAAGGGGCACATGCTAGTAGCTCATTATATCTTCTAAATTTTCTAGAATACCTCAGTATTGTCATTAGTCTCATTACATAAGAACATTAGACATATTATGTATACGTTATGTTTGATATTGTGAATTGAAAATTCATAATGATTAAATATTTTAGTTTATATTTATTTTTATTAGATTTTAGTCAAGGATATTTTTCTAATTTAATTTATTAATATTTTATTTTATCAAATCAATCTTATCTATTATCAACTCTTTTTTTTATCCAAACAATCTTATTTTTATTAATTTTTAAAATTAATTCTTCCAATCCAAAATATGTAGTTACTCAATCTCTCTCTTCAACCAATTGTATAATATATTGATTCTCAAAAGGTAATCACAACTAACCAAACTTTTGTTCAACTTATTCACAAGAAATACACAGGGTTCTCTGTTTATCAAAATTTGTTGCCCAGTTCTTTTAATATAATAGAAATGCAAACACAGTGTTTCTCTTAATAATGATTCTGTAAATAAATACATAAATAAATGTATGAAATTGTTGTAGTCTCTATAAATCATTAAAATTTAAAATTAGAAGTTAATGATTTTGTCATTCATCTTGTTAGTCTTGTGAAGATAAGATTTGTTGTTTTTTTCTTCATATGAATATTATGTCAGAAATATTGATTTGAAAATAATTTATTAGATTAAATTTCCTTTTGGTATTTCTTTTTAGTTCTCCCCAATTCTTTCATCGTGTTCTCTTTTTTTTATTCATGATTTAGTGAAATTTGTTCTTACTTTTTCATCTTTATTATTGATATTTGTAATAATTAGGTCTATTTTTTGAAGATGCATCGATGATAATAGATAGGGAGGCGTTTATCCTGGTACATTGGATAAAACATTGCATGAGAAATGGAGAATATTGGTGGAATGTTTGAAGTCGTGCAAATTCAAATGGTTGAATCATTGGTAATTCCTAGTTTTTTTTACGTCATTTTGTTTCAATTATTTTAATTATTGTATTAACTTATTAATATAGAGATATAAGATGGGTATTTCAATTTCAGTTGTAGGTTGATCAGATGATTGATGATGAAAATGCAAGAAAGATGATAGTGTTGCAATATTGGAGTCCCATTTGAGTTGGAGTTCCATGCGGTCAATCTCTCATCAGTCCTCTTCAGGTGCGAGCATCACCACCCTTCTGAAGGGGTGCAAGAGAAGTGAACACCTGGAGCAAGTTCACGCTTCAATCATCCACCGAGGCCTCGAGCAAGACCACTTCCTCATCTCCCTCTTCATTCCACTCTCCCACACCCTTTCCACTCTCTCCTATTCCTCCACCGTCTTCCTCCGCGTCCTCACCCCTTCCACCTTCCTCTGGAACACTCTCATCAAATCCCATTGCCAAAACAGCTTTTTTTCCCACACCCTCTCCGCCTTCGCTCGCATGAAGGCGCATGGTGCCCTTCCCGACAACTTCACCTACCCTTCTGTCATTAAGGCCTGTTCCACAACGTGCAAGCCGTGGGAAGGAAAATCGCTTCATGGGTCCGCGTTCAGGTGCGGCGTCCATAGGGATCTTTTCGTGGCCACCAGTTTGATCGACATGTATGGCAAGTGCGGGCAGATTGTTGATGCTCGCAAGGTGTTTGATGGTATGTCTGAGAGGAGTGTTGTTTCCTGGACTTCTATGCTTGTAGGGTACGTTGCTGTTGGGGATGTTGTGGAGGCCAAGAAACTGTTTGATGAGATGCCGCAGAGAAATGTAGCTTCTTGGAATGCGATGTTGCAGGGTTTTGTCAAGGTGGGGGATTTGAGTTGTGCTAGAGGTGTGTTTGACGTTATGCCAGAGAAGAATGTTGTTTCTTTTACCACCATGATTGATGGGTATGCCAAGGCGGGTGACATGGTGGCTGCGAGGTTCTTGTTTGATCGTGCTCCGGGAAAGGATGTTGTTGCTTGGTCTGCTTTAATATCGGGTTATGTCCAGAATGGGCAACCTAATCAGGCGTTGAGAGTGTTTCTTGAGATGGAATCGATGAAAGTAAAGCCTGATGAGTTCATACTAGTTAGCTTGATGTCGGCTTCGGCGCAATTAGGACATTTAGAACTTGCTCAATGGGTTGATTCTTACGTAAGCAAAAGCTGTATTGATCTTCAGCAGGACCATGTAATTGCAGCACTTCTGGATATGAATGCAAAGTGTGGAAACATGGAGAGAGCGTTGAAATTGTTTGAGGAAAAAACTAAACGGGATCTAGTGTTGTATTGTTCCATGATACAAGGGTTGTCAATTCATGGGCGTGGGGAAGAGGCCGTGAATCTGTTTAACAAGATGCTGATGGAAGGGCTATCTCCGGATGAGGTGGCCTTCACAGTTATCCTCACAGTCTGTAGTCATGTTGGGCTTGTTGATGAGGGCTGGGAATACTTCCAATCTATGAAGGAAAGATACTACATTAGTCCTTTACCTGACCACTATGCGTGTATGGTTGATCTTCTAAGCCGGTCAGGACATACAAGGGATGCTTATGAACTTATAAAATTAATGCCTGGGGAGCCTCATGCTGGTGCATGGGGTGCACTTCTTGGGGCATGTAAACTCTACGGTGATTCAGAGCTGGGAGAGATTGTTGCTAATCGACTTTTTGAGTTTGAGCCTCTAAATGCTGCTAACTATGTGCTGTTGTCCGACATCTATGCAGCAGCAGAGCGATGGATTGATGTTTCCCTTGTGAGAAGTAAGATGAGAGAAAGGAATGTGCAGAAGATACCCGGGTCCAGTAAAATTTAGTCTAGGGCCGACTTTTTCTGGCGTATGAAGTTCGGAATTGGGTAATCTTGGTTGCATGGAAGCTGATATGAATTCATTTTAGCTGGTTTGGAAGCTTTATCAGTTATTCCACGGTTGTTAAACTGTCAATGGAGCAATATCTATTGATCAATTTCTCTTCATACGCTAAACATACACTGCTTTCTCTCTTTTTTATAATGGCATAAATCGGGAAGAAAAAGATTATGAACCCAACTTTTGAGTTTTGATTTCATTCCTAGTTATCATTTTGCCCCAAGACAGAAGGGATACTTTGCTTGAAACATGAACGATTGATAAGTTTACTCGAACTTTGCTTAGTTGATTGACTAATGCAATTTTCTAATGTAAGTAACCTATATATGTCAACTGATGATATCTTTTTTATGGAATTATCTATTCTTGAAAAAGTTTGGTAGTAAACTTCAAATTTTGAAAAAATTATGATTTCATTTGGCCTCCAGCTAGTACACATTTGAGTTCTTTAAGCCTAAATCTGCATTTTCAATTGCTTAATTGGAGGCTACAAATGGACTTTAGGCCTAACTCAATCTGCATTTTCATGCCCCGTGGTTTTCGTGTCTGAAAAGGTAAATAATGTAAACATTGAGTTATAGAGTTTGGAATATGGTTGTATTAGTTGTTTTGTTACATTTTATTCAATATGACAGACAAGTACAATTGGTAACTTACAAATAAATACATTTACGCATCTATTATAGAAAAGAATCTGATGTTAATCCTTTTCAGTTCCCTGAAGCCTCTCAGAAAATATAAAATATATTAATACAATTTTCTTCTTTAATATTGACTGCCATGAGACTCTTTTAGTGATGAATTTTCCAGTATCAGATGCATTCTACTTATGTGCCTCTTTTTGTAATAATTTCACGTATATTAATTTTCTTGTGCAGACAGAATCGGTTGGTGATCAATAAAAAAATTACAGAGGCCTCCTAAGTTTCAGCTATAAGGTATTCACATCATACCAATATTCACACATTCTCGCAATTTCATTGGAAAAGAGGGCGATGGTCAGTCAATGGTGTAGTTATTCTTTTGCCTTCGTTTAGAAAAGAAAATTTCCGATATGATTCAGTCAGGTTATACTTTCCTAGTATATGAGCTACGTTATGAACAGTGACTGAATCACGCCAAATAAATATAGCATAACCAAGATTGCCTTTGGACAAAAATATTGAATACCGAATTGATTCCTCAATTTAAAAAGTAAAAGGGGAGTCTTATTACTTTTTCTAGCCTCAGAAGGTCTAGCCTCAATTTAAAAAGTAAAAGGATGCAGTGTTGTAAGTAGCTATCAGAAAAGGTCTAGCCTCAGGCACCAAATAATAAATATCATACAGAAGGTGGGAAGGCAGCCTTATTTAGTTCCTGTGATTATAAGACCTCGGAAATGATATATATAGGAGAGAATTCTCCAAACTACTTACAGAAATAGATTTTCAAAATAGTTCTTTTCATGCCCCTTTATTGTGTTGTGTGCTAATTTACTAATTTGTTGCTTAACGTTTGCAATCTGTCTCACATCAGAGTGTATTAGTCCCTGTTTTTTTTCTAAACTTCACTTGAATTGTGTTACAGGATCCTGCATGGTCTTGTTCGTGGGATCTCAACAATTCGCATAACATATATGCTGGACTACAGGTCAGAAAATTTATTTTGTATATATATTGGATGTGGTTGCTTCAAATGCTAATCATATTGATTTCCTGCAGAATGGTTCTGTCCTGGTGTTTGACATGCGTCAAACTGTAGGACCCATGAAATCTTTAGTTGGTTTGACTAACAACCCTGTGCATACTGTACATTCTCTTTCACAAACTTCAAGTCTTTCTTCGGGTGTTGGAACCATCCTTTCAGCATCTGTCATTGGCCTTTCTCAGTGGAACATTGAATCTGAAGAACGGTAGGCTGCTTACATTTTATGGATATTTGCTTTACGTATATTCATTATCAAACCCTGTGCATACTGTACATTCTCTTTCACAAACTTCAAGTCTTTCTTCGGGTGTTGGAACCATCCTTTCAGCATCTGTCATTGGCCTTTCTCAGTGGAACATTGAATCTGAAGAACGGTAGGCTGCTTACATTTTATGGATATTTGCTTTACGTATATTCATTATCAAAGCCTTTCAAATATTATTCTAAACATTTACTTGCTAACAATATGATCATTCAATTACGCTGGGTAATTACCTCATTGTACCCATTTTTCTTTTGGATTTGCGTAGGGCTACTTGTGGTTATAATTAGTTTTGTTTTCCAAAGTATGCTAACATTGTTACATTACGAATTGTGCATGTCCAATCTTTAGTCCGACTTTGTACCTTTCCCTTCTCCACTCCTTTTGATCCTATTATTTTTCATTTGTATGATATTTGTATGCTAGGTCTGTAACTTGTATTGTCAAAATTATTTTAGATTATTTTCGTGTCAATGTTGTATTTCTTTTACATTTTTTGGAAATTTACATTATTTTTGTAAATTTAATTAAATCAGCTCAAGGCTACGGAATAATTCCTTGCATTTGTAAGATAGTTTATGATGGGTCATTCCTATTTTCTTTTGCATAATTTGAACATGGTTCCACGAGGACAGTGGTAATTTTGCAAGCAATCATGTACAGAGTTTCATTCTCTATTATTTTATTGCTGGAAATAGCTCTTCTAATGCTTCACTTTCTTTTTAAATATTAAGGCCGCTTGTGGTTCCTGAAACTAACAATCAAGGAGTTTGCATATCCCTTGCCTATTGCCCTAGCATTGATGACATTGTTGCTTCTTACCGGCCCACATTCAATATGTCCAAGGATGTGCCTCTATCTCAACCATTGTCCACTCCTCTTAGTGCTGGACAAGGATTACAGGGGACTCATGTCTTGTTCAATAGAATGGGTAGTCATCATTTTCAAAAGGTGGGTTCCTCATATGCCAATGTAAGTAAAATTCGACTGCCAAAATGTGTAATTATGGACATAGAGAATCAGAGCAGATTGTTTGCATCTTGGGATGAAGTTACATGTGATTTGGTCTTGCATGAGTTGCCATCTTTTAGAGTTCTTCAGCAATTCAAATTGCCAGCTCATGCCCGTGATATTAGGTACTCACCTAGCCACGGCATACTTGGTTGTTTAAGTGAGAACAAGTTGCAGCTCTTCCATTCCAAACACTCGTCGGTAAGGTAATTCTATATTTCGCAATTGCTTATCACTGCAATCCTTTCAAGAAAAATTGGGGGTCATTTGGCTTTGATGTCTTTTTGTTCTGAATTATTCTATATTAGAATTTAAAAACAGTAACAGAGAGGGGCATCCTGCCTTAGCCTACACGATGTTATTTATTGTCCTTATCTTATTATTGTCCCCTACTTAATCATTGGATTGCATTGCATTATGATACGTGTATGTTGATGGGCTTCTTTATATTAAAGTTAAGTAAAATGGAAGGTAATAGATAAATTATTTCAAATTGTTAAATGTAATCGAAATGTGTGATAAAATTAAATTAATTTGAATTATAATTTTTATATTAAAACATTGTGAGAATGAAAGAAATTACTAACCTTAGTACTTGCCTAATAGGTTAGCATGCATGGGGTCAATATCAGGATGTAAATTTCGAAATAAACATCTCACATCAATCAAATATCTATTCCTTAAGATATGCCAAATGACGAGAAAGGGGTTGGGGTTAGGAGAACGTAACGTAGTAGAGATTTATGATGAAGCAATGCTTAACCATATTTCGATTTTTGAAAACATTCAATCATTGTCACTCCATTAATGGTTTTAAAGCTATCCACCAACTACCATATTTGTTTGATCTTAGAATTATGGCCCTCTGCTTTATGCTTTATTATTCTCTTCCACCATCTTCAACAATAAATCATTCTAGGCCATTCAGGGGATGAGTGATTGATATTTTCATAATTTTTGGTTTATGACTTGAATTGGTTTGACACACACAAGCATGATAGGATTAATGTTAGTACACTGTATATTTATATAAATAAATAAAGAAAAATACATATTTATTATATACATTAGTAAAAAGTATTTTGTAACTACTGTTTTTTAAATTTATGATGTTTTTTGTTTTGCAATTTCTAACTGAAGATATTTAAGAATATAATCTATTTTTCACATGTTAATGAGATTGAATGAGTCTAAATTTCTAGAAACATATAATATATATATATATATATATATATATATTTATTTATAATATAAATTAATTTTACATAAGATTAATTTATTGTTTTAATAAATATAAGAATAATTATCTAATATTTCTTTATTATATAATATAATGATTAAAATTAATTATTATTTTATATCAATAAATTATTAAAAAATTAAATGATAACCATGATAATTAAGAAAATATTTTTAATTCTTATTTTAGGATTGAAAAATTTGTTTTAATATTATTTATATATTAAATAATAATTTATAAAATAAAAATTAATTTTCTTAATCTAATTTAAATATTAATAAAATATTTTATTTTTATTTAATATTTTTAAATGATTTATTTTTATATAAATATATTAATATTTTTTTAATTCTTAATTACGTTAAAATTAGTGGATTAACCTATTAATCTAATATAAAATTAGATTATACTAACATTTATTAGGTGTTTTAAAATATAAGTTAATCAGAGCCAAGATTCTCATTTTAACGGTCATATTGTGTGAAGGAGTAATTCAATTTTTAAAAATTAAATTAAGATAATAATTGACTTTAATTATTATTATATTAAGTAAAAAATTTTAAGTACAATTAAGTACAAATTACGTTTAGTTCAATTCTTTTACAACTCTACTGTCACATATTATAATAGATTAAAAAAAATAGTTAATTAATCTAGAATTCTTAAATAAAACTCAAACTTGGTTAAAAAATATAGTTTTCAAGTAGTTTTTGGAGGATACTTGGGATATGGTTGAATAAGGTTAAAACGGCACAAATTTTTGTAGAGCTCAAAATTTAAAACTCAAGTCTTTGAAAAGAAAGATTTTTCTTTTTGTATGGATATGGTGGTATTGGTAAGATAACTCATTCATACCTTTATTAATTAATGAGGAATCAACTTGTAATATACCTCAAGGAAGTGCTCGAGCTAAACTTTTGATGGAAACAAAATTGATTATATGGGATGAGGTTCCAATGATGAATAGATTATGCTTTGAAACATTTTATTGAACCTTTGGAGGATATTATGAAAGCAACAAATATAGAGGATTATAATAAATCATTTGGTAGTAAAATTATTGTGTTTAGAGGTGATTTTAGGCAAATTTTGCGATGTAGTCATCTATAAATTATTCTAAAACATGGACAAATTGCAAAGTTCTAAAACTTTGAAAGAATATGAGGTTAAATACTACAAAAACAAATGAAAGTACAAAAGAGAATTTGCTGATTGGATATTAAAGGTTGAAGATGGAGATGTGCCTTTAAATGAAAATGGTGAAGGACATATTGATATACCTAAAGATCTTTTAATTGACGGTAACGAAACACTTTTACTTTCATTAGTTAATTTTGTTTATCCTCATTTTGTACATAACATGATGTTTGCTGGTAATTTTGATGATGAAGTCATATTTTGTCCTACTATTGATGTAGTTGAGAAGTTAATAATTTTATTTCATCTTTGATTATTGGTGAAGAAAAAATATAATTGAGTTCTGATACACCATATCAATCAGATGAGGATCAAAATATGCAAGGTGGATGATTTACATATGAATTTCTTAATGACATTAAATGTTAAGGAATTCCAAGTCATTGACTCAAATTAAAAGTTGATGTACTGGTAATATTGTTAAAAAATATTAATCAAGTAAATGGTTTATGTAACAGAATAAGACTGTAAGTGAATGATTTGGAAAAAAATGTTATTTCAGGTATTGTGATTATTGAAAAAAATGTTGGAGACAAAATCTTAATACAAAGAATGAATTTGATTATTTATGATCTTAGATTTCCTTTTAAGTATGAAAGAAGACAATTTCTATTATCATTGTATTTTATAATGACAATTAATAAGGGTCAAAGTTAATCGCTCTCTAAAATTGAATTTTATCTTCAACATCAAGTATTCACTCATAGTAAGTTTTATGTGACCATTTCCAAAATCGAACACAAAGAAATGACTAAAAATAATTATGTTGGATGAAGAATGAAATGTAACATTATGTACTAAAAATGTGGTGTACAAATAAATTTTTCAAAACCTTTAAACACATGCAAGTACACTCGTAATACCAAAAACTATATATTTACTTCATTTATTTGTTATACTATTTTTTAATTATTTAGTCTATGAAAATACATATTTATGATGTTTATCATCACTTACAAATACATATTTATGATGTTTATCATCACTTACAAATACATATTATAATTACAAATTATAATTTTTCATTATTCATTCTTTAAATTGAGTGATATCTATTTTGTAATATAAATTTACAATATTTCGCAATAAATTTATTTTTTCAGATTATTATACTAATATCTTTTTGTTTGTTATTGTTACATATTATACAAATATGTTATATTGTCGTATTTATTCAGTGTTAGTATTTATTCAGTGTTATAAAATCAATCAAGTTTTTTGAAATTTTGTATTACATAATTTTATCGAATTTATCTTTAATTTATTGTAAAAAAATTTATTTTATAACTTTTTTAATATAATTTTTTTATTTAAAAATTTAAGATCATTTATAATTTTTTTTATCTTCTTATTTATAATTATTATTATTAAAGTATTATTTATTATTAATAGAAAAAATTAAAGAATTCCGTACATTACACGGTGAATATACTAGTTTGTTTATATTGAAAAGAAGCAAAACTTAGCTTGTAACCAGTATTGGGCTTGGGCCGAAGTTCCAACTCCTTATATCCAATACTATGTTCACCCCACCCTCATTCAATAAAAGACGCGGGTTGGGATCTACAAGAGGTGAATTTTAAATTTTTAATGTCCATATACATCTTTTTTCCCTTTGCAAGTTAAAACACCAAACACTTCACTGCACTATTCTTCTTATTCAACTTTTTCCCCCTCTTGTCTGCATTCTCTTTCTCTAATTTCTTGTTCTCTTTCAGTAACTCCTTTGGTAAAACTTATTTTCTTTATGCCTTCTTGTAATTGTTTTATTGAAATGGTAGTGGTATAAAAACTTAGTTCGTGTTCGTTCCGATTGTGACAATAAATATGACCTAATTTATCAATTTTTGAAAAGAATTATGAAACAAAATGGATGTGTTCATAAAAAATATCAAATTTATTATGATGAATTGTGTACTAGATTAAGGAATATTTCAAATGAGTTAACCTAAATTAATAGATGTAGTGGTATTTTTTATATTTAGTATTTTTATTTTTAGTAGTAATTAACATGCTCTATTAAAAAAATTAAATTTAATAAATTTCACTTATCTTATGAAATAAAATATTTAAAAGATAAAATAATTTGAAACAAAAATAATTTAAATTAAATATATATAAATTTCTTGGAAATAATAAAATCATTTGTCTAGACACATTTTATGAAAATTTTATGGATTTAAATCTAAAAAATAGTTAAAAATTATACTTTGACCATTTGAGATTTATGCTTTATTTGCTTTCATGGGTGGACTGTAGATGGAAATTGAATTAAGCTCATTTGCCAGAAAAAATGTCTGTTTGATTCAAGAGAAATACTAAGATTTGGAGTGATACATTATAGTTAAAATATCCTCCCAGATAATGGAAATACAAAGAAAGTCTTGTTATAAAAAGACAAAACTGCCCATATTTATATGTAATTATATATCAGAATAATGATTGAAGTTTTTATATGTAATAATACAATTACAACTACCCAAAATATGTAGTTATTCAATCTCTCTTCGACCAGTTGTGTCATATATTGATTCTCAAGAGGTAACTCACAACTAACCAAACTTTTTGTTCAATTAAACCTGTACATCTAGATATCGATTCGCTGTCCTAAATTTGATGGGGAAAATTCGAGTTAACTAGAGTAGGGCGGGACATATTTTAGTTTTCCTCGCTTTAAAAAGTCGAGGCGGAAGTAGGGATGAGTAATGCAATCTTCACCCCGATCCTGTTTCCGTCCCGACTTTATATTTAAATTTTAAAATATTAATATTTTAAAATATTAATATTTTAAAAGTATTTCTTTTTCTTTTTTCTATTACAGGTCATTTTTTTATATTTCACTAATTTTTTTTCTTCTACCCACTTTTTAATTTTTTTTAATCTTTTATATCAATTAATTTATTACATTATTCTTTTTCTTACCTTTCAGCTTTTCATATTTCTCTAATCTCTCCCTTCAATTTGTTTATTTTTTTCAATTTTTTCAACCAATTTGATGAACACAAAGTTAATTTTTTTTTATTCTTTATCTTTTTTTAAATATTTTATATAAATATTAGTAGTAACTAATATTATTTTATTTATAATTTATATTTATTAGGTTTTATTATATCATATTTTTTTATCTTATTATTCTTATTTATCATATATCAAATTTTATCTTAATAAAATAATTATATTTTAAAGGATTAAAGGAATTGATAATTTAAATTTTTGCTACTTCGAACTAATTGAATAAAAATTAACTTATTAAATATTTTCTTATAAACTATATATTTCATATTTTTAAATGACAATTTAAAAACGAATTAACTTATATATATAATCAAATGTTTGAATATAGTATTATAATAATAATGTTATAAATATTCAAATATTTGAATACAGATGTTATAATAATAATAATATTATAAATAAAAAATAAAAAATATTTCTTTTACATACATATTTTAATATAAATATAATAAATTAAAATGTATATTTAATTAATAATAATTATAAATTATAAAATTATAAATATTTATTTATATATAAAAAATAGATAGTAAAATTAATTTATTATAAATATAAAATCTTTTTAAAAATAATATAGATCGAGGGACGGGATAGGAGCGAGGCAAGGAACCCGAAACCCAGCGAGACGGAATAAGACTTAATTTCTAATCCTGCAAAGATCAAGGACTGGAACAGAGATGGTTAAAAAAGTCGAGACAGATATCGAAGAGCCAAAACCCGCCCGTTCTATTACCATGCCTAGTTATCTGTTTATCAAAATTCGTTGCCCAATTCTTTGAAAACAATATTATTTTAATATAATAGAAATGCAAACACAGTGTTTCTCTTAATAATGATTTTGTAAATAAATACATAAATAAATTAATTAATAAATACTCTATCGGTACTTAAAAATGTATGAAATTTTTGTAGTCTCTATAAATTATTAAAATTTAAAATTAGAAGATAATGATAAGATTTGTCATTCATCTTGTTAGTATTGTGGAGATATGATTTAATGTTTTATTTTTCATATGATTATTACATCACAAAATATTGATTTGAAAATAATTTATTAGATTAAATTTCCTTTTTGTATTTCTTTTAGTTCTCCCCAATTCCTTCATCGTGTTCTCTCTTTTTTTTTCTTATTCATGATTTAGTGAAATTTGTTCTTATTTTTTCATCTTCATATTGATATTTGTAATAATTAGGTCTATTTTTTAAAAGATGGATCGATAATAGACAGGGGTTTATCCTGATACATTGGATAAAACATTGCATGAGATATATAGAATATTGGTGGAATGTTTGAAGTCGTGCAAATTCAAATGATTGAATCATCGGTAATTCCTATTCTTTTTTACGTGATTTTATTTTAATTATTTGAAGAGGGTGGGATATTTTCAAAATCAGATATTATTAAACCCATCAAATAACCTATTTTTATTAATATAATAATCTATAGAATAATTTAATAAAAATAAATTAAATTTTTATTATAATATTAAAAAAAATTATTTATAGAAGTTGTATAAAATTGGGTTGTTAAAATATTTTTTTTTATTTTAATTATTGTATTACCTTGTTAAGATAGAAATATAAGATGGGTATTTCAATTTCAGTTGTAGGTTGATAAGATGATTGTTGATGAAAATGCAAAAAAGATGATAGTGTTGCAATGTTGGAGTCCTATTTGAGTTGGAGCTCCATGTATTCAATCTCTCATCAGTCCTCTTGAGGTGCGAGCATCACCACCCTTCTGAAGGCGTGCAAGAGAAGTGAACACCTGGAGCAAGTTCACGCTTCAATCATCCACCGACGCCTCGAGCAAGACCACTTCCTCATCTCCCTCTTCATTCCACTCTCTCCTACTCCTCCTCCGTCTTCACCCCTTCCACCTTCCTCTGGAACACTCTCATCAAATCCCATTGCCAAACACAGCTTCTTTTCCCACACCCTCTCCGCCTTCGCTCGCATGAAGGCGCACGGCGCCCTTCCCGACAGCTTCACCTACCCTTCTGTCATTAAGGCCTGTTCCACCACGTGCAAGCCGTGGCAAGGAAAATCGCTTCATGGGTCCGCGATCAGGTGCGGCGTCCATAGGGATCTCTTCGTGGCCACCAGTTTGATCGACGTGTATGGCAAGTGCGGGCAGATTGCTGATGCTCGCAAGGTGTTTGATGGTATGTCTGAGAGGAGTGTCGTTTCCTAGACTTCTATGCTTGTAGGGTACGTTGCTGTTGGGGATGTTGTGGAGGCCAAGAAACTGTTTGATGAGATACCGCAGAGAAATGTAGCTTCTTGGAATGCGATGTTGCAGGGTTTTGTCAAGGTGGGGGATTTGAGTTGTGCTAGAGGCGTGTTTGACGCTATGCCAGAGAAGAATGTGGTTTCTTTTACCACTATGATTGATGGGTATGCCAAGGCGGGTGACATGGTGGCTGCGAGGTTCTTGTTTGATCGTGTCCCTTGTTTGATCGTGTCCCGGGAAAGGATGTTGTTGCTTGGTCTGCTTTAATATCGGGTTATGTCCAGAATGGGCAACCTAATCAGGCGTTGAGAGTGTTTCTTGAGATGGAATTGATGAAAGTAAAGCCTGATGAGTTCATACTGGTTAGCTTGATGTCGGCTTCGGCGCAATTAGGACATTTAGAACTTGCTCAATGGGTTGATTCTTACGTAAGCAAAAGCTGTATTGATCTTCAGCAGGACCATGTAATTGCAGCGCTTCTGGATATGAATGCAAAGTGTGGAAACATGGAGAGAGCGTTGAAATTGTTTGAGGAAAAAACTAAACGGGATCTAGTGTTGTATTGTTCCATGATACAAGGGTTGTCAATTCATGGGCGTGGGGAAGAGGCCGTGAATCTGTTTAACAGGATGCTGATGGAAGGACTATCTCTGGATGAGGTGGCCTTCACATTTATCCTCACAGTCTGTAGTCATGTTGGGCTTGTTGATGAGGGCCGGGAATACTTCCAATCCATGAAGGAAAGATACTACATTAGTCGTTTACCTGATCACTATGCGTGTATGGTTGACCTTCTAAGCCGGTCAGGACATATAAGGGATGCTTATGAACTTATAAAATTAATGCCTGGGGAGCCTCATCTGGTGCATGGGGTGCACTTCTTGGAGCATGTAAACTCTACGGTGATTCAGAGCTAGGAGAGATTGTTGCTAATCGACTTTTTGAGTTTGACCCTCTAAATGCAGCTAACTATGTGCTATTGTCTGACATCTATGCAACAGCATAGCGATGGATTGATGTTTCCCTTGTGAGAAGTAAGATGAGGGAAAGGAATGTGCGGAAGATACCCGGTTCCAGTAAAATTTAGTCTAAGGGCCGACTTTTCCTGGCATATGACGTTCGGAATTCGGTAATCTTGGTTGCATGGAAGCTGATATGAATTCATTTTCAGCTGGTCTGGAAGCTTTATCAGTTACTCCACGGTTGTTAAACTGTCAATAGAGAAATATATATTGATCAATTTCTCTTCATACGCTAAACATACACTGCTTTCTCACCTTTTTATAATGACATAAATCGGGAAGAATAAGATTTGGAACCCAACTTTTGAGTTCTGATTTCATTCATAGTTATCATATTGCCCCAAGACGGAAGGGATACTTTGCATGAAGCATGAACGATTGGTAAGTTTACTCGAACTTTGCTTAGTTGATTGACTAATGCAATTTTCTAATGTAAGTAACATATATATGTCAACTGATGATATCGTTTTTATGGAATTATCTATTCTTGAAAAAGTTTGGTAGTAAACTTCAAATTTTGAAAAAATTATGATTTCATTTGGCCTCCAGCTAGTACACATTTGAGTTCTTTAAGCCTAAATCTGCATTTTCAATTGCTTAATTGGAGGCTACAAATGGACTTTAGGCCTAACTCAATCTGCATTTTCATGCCCCGTGGTTTTCGTGTCTGAAAAGGTAAATAATGTAAACATTGAGTTACAGAGTTTGGAGTATGGTTGTATTAGTTATTTTGTTACATTTTATTCAATATGACAGACAAGTACAATTGCTAACTTACAAATAAATACATGTACGGATCTATTATAGAAAAGAATCTGATGTTAATCCTTTTCAGTTCCCTGAAGCCTCTCAGAAAATATAAAATATATTAATACAATTTTCTCCTTTAATATTGACTGCCATGAGACTCTTTTAGTGATGAATTTTCCAGTATCAGATGCATTCTACTTATGTTCCTCTTTTTGTAATAATTTCACGTATATTAATTTTCTCGTGCAGACAGAATCGACTGGTGATCAATAAAAAAATTACAGAGGCCTCCTAAGTTTCAGCTATAAGGTATTCACATCATACCAATATTCACACATTCTCGCAATTTCATTGGAAAAGAGGGGGATGGTCAGTCAATAGTGTAGTTATTCTTTTTCTTTCATTTAGAAAAGAAAATTTCCGATGTGATTCAGTCAGGTTAGACTTTCCTAGTATATGAGCTACATTATGAATAGTGACTGAATCACGCCAAATAAATATAGCATAACCAAGATTGCTTTTGGACAAAATTATACCCAATTGATTCCTCAATTTAAAAAAATAAAAGGCGAGTCTTGTTACTGTGTATTATACTTGTATATTATGCTTTTATCATACTCTCTTTGCCGGAGTTGAAGTGGAATTTTCAACTTCAGTAAGCCTATAAATAGGGCCAATAACTCATTGGTTTTGTGCCACTTTTGCTTGTTATATAATGGGAGGTCCAAGATCATCTTTATTGTTTATGCTTATCGTCCATTATCCATTCATGTTGCCAAACATATCTAAGACATCTTTTGCAGCATGATGAGACAGACTTACATGGATGTGCTTTTATCTACATAACCTTTCCAACAACCATAACTTATTATCTGTGAGTTCTTTAAGATGCGTTCCTTTCTTTTCAAATTCGGGGGAATAATTATATGGTAAGATGGCATGCTGGATTCTGCATGGAGATTTTAAGGTTTCTAGTTAAAATTGGCACGAGGAAGGTCTCTATGGTTTGAAGATAATTCTACTGCAAAATTAATGGAGAATCTAGCACAGTTTTGTTTATGCCCAGATGCCGCGGAGGCAAAGTGCTTATCTAAACCCGTTACCATGAGCAGTTTGTCCGCGAAAACCTTGGATTTTTTTGGGTCAAATTGTGGCTACTGCAGCTAAACATTCATTCAACTAGTTAGGTTTTTTAACATTAGAATGCATACTCACTCACATTTGTAATGATCTTTGAAAAGAAAATGCATTTGCCTTCGAATTGTTCGGTAGCTAGCTTTGTGATGTAATCAGGAGTTTGAAAAATAATGGAACCGAGTGGAACCATTCTGATCCAAACCATAAAAAACCGAATCATATGGAAAAGAATGAAATCAAAACCCAACTGTTTCTCTAAAACTATTCGATTCAAATTGAACTGTTTTTATAAAATGGTGTCGAAATTGTCTTAATAATACATGAATGTTAACTCCGGCCTCCCGGACTTTTAGTTTTCAATAAATTCATAGAAAACCAAGCTTTTGGACCATGAACCTTTTTAATGACAAACCATCATCATCATTAGTTTTTAATACGTCTTTTGTTAATGAAAACATGACCATGTCGTGTTGTAGTTAAATTGGTATATATGCTCCTTGTGGGAGACGTAGCCAGCAACTGACCGATAACTTACGATCTCAAATTTCTGTAGTTTAGGGATCTCTATAATTGTCTGACCAATTGCAGTTTTGGGCTTTAAATAGACCATATCTGTAACACCTAAATTATGTAGTAATAACAACTTATCTCGTCTATTACGAGTTACCATCAGTCCATTTGTTTTACATTTCATCTTGAGGTTTTCTTTTAGTAATGAAAAGGATGTAATAAATAAAATGGAAAAAAATATTTGGTTTTATCACTTGGATTTTTAAAACAAAATAAAGAAACTAATGAAATATGTTTAATATAATTTCTTCCAATATTTTCTTTTTATCTCTTTATATTTAGGAGTATAAAACGAATTCTGGATTTATTTTTCCTTATACATAAAAATGATAAGCAATATTTTATCTCATTTACCACCACTAATTATTCACAAATGTTCTATCATGAACCTCGGAATATCCGTGAGTTTTTGCACCTTAAATAGCAATGTAATTGGTCAAATTACATTGTGGAATGTCTCGTTGTTTTGCGTATAAAGCACCTTTTCAACCTTTTCCTTGTCATTTCTTACCTTTTTCCTTGTTAACCTTTTTGAAGTTTATACCATTCAAATATGATTCTTTGTAATCTTTTTAGGTTTATTAGGTTGAAATTTTGGGCCCGAGAAAATATAATTTTGTGGAACAAAACCAAGTGCTGTTTAAAAAATTATGAGTTGTACATATAAAGCAATTATAAAGTTTTTTAGTGTAATTTATCATAAAAAAACGAAAACATTATATGAAATTCATAAAATAACTAATACTTTTGTCAAATAAATAAGAAGATTTTAATTGAAAGGAAACAAATTATAGAAATGATTTTAATCAATGAAAAGATGTGAGAAAAATTAAATTATCAACACAAAGAAAAACAACATATATCTAAGCCATATCAATTGATCCATTTGTTGTTTTCTTACTTCAAAAACTCACTTTAAAATGATTCCTAAACATATGTTGGCATTTCATTTATTCGTTATTAATTGCAAATATATTTTGTTACTAAAAACAAAAAACAAACATCAAAAGTCCATACAGCAATTTAAACATCCAAATAAATAGAAAGTAAACAAATAAATAAAGATTTTCTCTTTTTGGCTGATCAAATTAAATTTATTTCTCTACTGCAGAATCTCTCACTTGACAAAGTAGGCAAGAAAATATTTTCAAATCTTAGTTGTATAATATGATATTACCCACATACACGTCTTTTTGACACAGATTCACACACTGATTTGACATATTTTAAAAGTTTAAGAACTTGTTTGATTTGCACTGATAATTAATTTTATATAACTTTTTTTCCAGAATAACAGGTGAAAACGTGTAAACTATTCAAACTTCTATCATTAGCTGCATTACATAAATCTTCATAAAACAATGCTTGGACAATTCATCAACTACACAGTAACTTAAAAAATAATATAAGAGTAAGTAATCCCCATTAATAATATATATTTTATATTACTATTTAATTACAAATTAATGTAAAATCGGTTCACCTTTAAAATATATTTTTCAATATTATTTAAGAATGATCGATAATAAATTTTTTTATGCATAAACTATATGCCAAAATTAAACCCCTAATTAAATAAATAAAAACCACTGTGTTGTAGAGATAATCTATTTATAAAAAAAAATTGTTAGATATTTATGGCAAGAGAAAAAGAATATAGAAATAATAAAAAATATACTTTGACAAATTTATATACAGTCATTTAACATCGTTTTATATAATTTAATAATAATTTTTTATATTATATTTTCATTATTGTATTATTATATTATTATATATTGTTATTAAAAAGAGTTATCAATATATTATTATTCAAAAATAATAATGAAAGTTAAAAGAGAGAAGAAATCAGGTCTAATATTTTCTAGAAAGTTTGAAAAACAAAAAATAAGAGTGAGGTTTAATTGGGGAATATCTTTACCTTTTTCTCTTGGCAACCGAGTGTGACTCTGGTGGATCCGGTACTTGAATTTCGGTTGGAGCAGGCACTACTTTTTCCTGGGCTGCGCTGGGACAACACAACGTAGATAAGAATCCATCCATCGTTGTTTCTATTTTGTTGTTTTGTTTTATTTTGTTGAGATTGTGCAGCGAGTTATCTCATTCCCACATATGATGACACAACCAACCAACTAAACCGCATTCTGCATGTCCAATTCTTGTTCCCCAAATATCTCGTCTCCCACTCCAATCCAACCTCTCTTGAAAACGCCACAATTACTCATTCATCCAATCACTTCTCCCCCTCTTGAACTTTCTTCACTCTCGCTCCACCCCTTCTCCAATTCGCTGTAAGGTATCATTTTGACAACAACCCACGTTTGCTTTCGGAAGACACGTTTATTTTCCTATTTTTCCGGAACCCCTTTTGCTCTGAATCTGCCTTTTCTTATTTTTGCTCAGGCTTGTCAACATGGAGATCGATAGAGCAATCAGAGAGTGTGACGATCGAAGACTTCAGACCAAGTACAATAATGCCACCTATGTTATTCAGAGAGCTTTGGCTTTGTATTCGTAAGTTGTTCTTTGTCTGAGGGATTGGATATGTTTGCCCCTTTTCTGTTCGTTAGTATAAATCAGAAGAGAAAAGAGTGTTATGTGCTGTTGACTTGATTTTTGTTGTCAGGTGCTCATTGATAAATTGTTGATTTCTGTTGGATCTATTTAACGAGATTATGGGTGTATTGAATTTCCTTCCTTGATTATTATTGTCTTAGGGGCAAGCAGTTTCTGAAAATGTTTATAATGAGTGTTATCTGAAAGAATGATTAAATGAGTGCCAGTCTGTGGCGATTTGGTCTATGTTACTGGAGAGAATACATACGATTCAGAAAACTGGATATATATATATATATATATATATATATATATATATATATATATATATATGTAATTGTATGTATGTTTATGAAGAAAGGACGATAAGTGCTCGTTGATATACTAAACAACTTAATGACTCATATCGCTTTATACGAAGAGTACTGCATCGGATGATGGAGGAATTTGGAATTTGAAATTTTCAAGGATGAGTGCATACATCATAGCGTGATGCCCCCTACATTTTTGTCTTTTTGATACTTCATTTGCTTGAAGTCATATCCATTTTAAATTATGAATTCAAAAAATATGATTTTTGATGACCATCTATATTTTCAATGCTGATTGTCTGATGTCTGCACGTATAATGTATTTCTTCCTACAGTATTGAGGAGGTTGCATTCAGCTTCAATGGAGGAAAAGATTCAACGGTATGTTTTAATATTTCTTATGTTTTATTTCCCATCAGAATCTATGGGCTCATTAATGATGACAGTGAGCTTTGGCATGCAGGTTTTGTTGCACATACTCAGGGCTGGTTATTTCTTGCATAAAAAGGGGCAAAATAATGTCAATGGGGATCTAAAAGATTTTCCAATTCGAACAATATATTTTGAGAGCCCTTGTGCATTCCCAGAAATAAACTCATTTACCTATGATACTGCTGCTACGTGAGTGAAGCTTCTTCCTTTGGATTTTTTTTTTTATTTTTTTATTTTACTGCAGTTTAGATAATATGTGGAGGTGATATTTTCCTATCTTAATTTCTATTGTTGTTTGTGATTTTTAAACTTGGAGGCTTGTCCTCCTTTAAAGGTGGAGCAACTAACGGATTTTTCTTGAGCAGATATGGGTTGCAAATTGACACCATTAGCTTAGATTTCAAATCTGGTTTGGAGGCTTTGCTAAAGGAAAAACCAATTCGAGCTATCTTCCTTGGAGTTCGAATTGGAGACCCTACCGCGGTATCCTTATTTCTTAACCATGAGACAGTTTTTCTGCAAAATTATGGAAAGCGAGAATTTATTTGAATGTGTTTGAGGTTATGTATAATCCACATTTAAAAGAAATACACAATACACAAACATCTTCCGTGAAGCTAAACACATATATGTAGAGTTATAAGGAAATAGCTATGCCACATGCTCATTACTCAATAGGTTGCAATCTAGTAAAGATAAAATGGCTTAAACCATCACAAGAACGATACTTATTATATTATAAAGGGGCACATGCTATTAGCTCATTATATCTTCTAAATTTTCTAGAATACCTCAGCATTGTCATTAGTCTCATTACATATGAACATTAGACATATTATATATACGTTATGATGTGCCAAAACCACTATCATGGAACAATTTTGACATGCATTAAATATCTCAATTCTAAACTGTCAATTTTCCATGCTATAGCAATCTCACTGGAATTTGCACACAGAGCAAATTCAACCTATACTTAGGTTCCCCAATTTCTGTGTAGTCTTGCTATTATTTTAAAATCACCATAATACTAGCTAACGATAATCAGAATGTTGCTAAAAAGATCACTCTAAACTGTTGAGGAGAGGATAATTAGGGCACATGTGCAAAATCATAAGATCATCAAATGCACGTGAATATTGAAATTAAGCAAGAACTTCAGCAGTATACATTGTTTTTTATTTGAGGTTCTCTTTATTATTAGTTCTTTCAAAATATATCTTTGAACATATTGTGCCAAACTTTCCTAACACTAACACATACATACCTGAAAAAATGACTCAAATTTATATTCAATACAATATGTAAGTATGTCTCAAATTATCTACCAGAATCTCGATTTCCGACTTTTACTTCCTTATGGATATTTGCAAATATGTCCGTTCAAAAACAATTTTGAATAAAATATCAAGTTTATGGCCATAGTAAAATGTAAAAGCTTAGTATGTATGCTTGCTTTAAACCAATAATTGATTACCATTTATTTTATGAAAACTGGGATATTTACATATTCTATTCTTACATATTGTGCTCCTACCTTACAGGTTGGTCAAGAACAGTTCTCCCCAAGTTCACCTGGGTGGCCACCTTTCATGAGGGTGAATCCCATTTTAGATTGGTCATACAGGTTTGATTATTTGTTGTTTGCAGCTTATTCTTCATGCTTCAAGTTAAAAAAATTAGAACCAGTGCTTATATTTGGTGTTTCTCTTTTAAATTCTTACCTGGACGACCAAGCAATATAAATATCTGAGCGAGTGGAGTTCTCTTTTAATTTAACCACATTATTGGTTGGAGCCAACTTGTACATAAGTTCTTTCATTTTGTAATAAATTTCACACATACAAGGTCTGCTGTCACATATTGCATAGTGTTGGATGTTATGTTTAATTTTCCTTAAACATTAGTACTGGAGACAAAAAGTTATGTTTAATAGTTGTGTGAGCAGTAGCACTAATAGATAGACTACCTCATGTCCAAATTGACTTGTTCTTTTTGCACATTTTTCCTCACTTCTTATATATATAAACTCTCCCCTTTTGAATATAGCCATATCAGTATTGTCCTTAGTACAACTTCTCTTAGATTTATAACCTTTTGGAAACACACAGACTTTCATATTTGGTTAGCCATGTAGATTAGTTAGAGAAATCTAGAAAGCCTCTTGTAAAAGGTGAAGGGTAACTTGTTAAAAGCAAAAAAAGACTTTACTCTAAATGGAATTTTAAAATTTAGGACCCATTTACTATTGTTTTCATTTTCTGTTTTCACTTTTTAATTACAAAACTACCACCTTTTTCTTTTGAAAGTTTCTTGTGTAAAAATCTTTGAAAAATAGGTAATCAATTGAAAACAAGGTGACAATTTTGTACTTAAAAAGGTGAAAACGGAAGAAGAAAACATGAACCGAACACCCAAGTAAATGGACCCTTATTTTCTTGATATATCTACATGGCATTGTTTGATCCTTGTGAGTCCCATCTAATGGGACAAGAATTGCTCGTTGTTATATTTTCTTGAAATATAGTTTTCTTTTTGCATTAATCTGAATTTTTTAAAGGGTAATTTTCTTAGCAAGTAGCTAATTAATTTGGAAATTATTTGGTTTCCTTCCCTCTATTTACATGATTATTTGTGTTGGTGCTTTTGGAATGTGACAATGTTAATTGCTTCATTTACTTATGTTGACTATATTTCTATACAGAGATGTGTGGGCCTTTCTTTTAACTTGCAAGGTGAACTATTGCAGCCTTTATGATCAAGGGTAATACTCAATAAATATGCTGAACCTTATTGTTGGATTTTATTATATCTGCCTGCATATTTATCTTTTTTGTTTGACATTTCTCCCAGAATAGGGGACTATAGGAAAATAATTCGATTAATATCGATAGATTATCTTTTTCATCATTTGCGAACTATTTGGCTTCACTATATACCAGAATGAGACATTCTATTGCTAAAGTTAATAATTGGTCCATCATGGTTGACATTGAGTTGCAGTTGTTTTTGTCTGATCAGGGAATTTACATATGCAATTTTTTTCTTTATTATTTGTGCAGCTATACTTCAATCGGGAGCATACATGACACGGTTCCCAACTCATTATTGTGCATTAGCAATTCTTCCAACAAATTCAAACCTGCATATTTACTTGCTGATGGAAGATTAGAGAGAGCAGGGAGGGCTAAAAGGAAATCATCTTCTACTGGTGGGCAACTTCCTTTGGATAGCAATGGTTTGACTAGCCCGGAGTCACATAAAAATAGCATGCTCACAGCATCAATCATTGTTGTAGGAGATGAGATTCTGTAAGTTCCTCAATATCACGTGGATAATTGGATTTTGTGGAATATATTGGAAACTCTATCTTGTATGAGTTTGTATGCCTTGCTTCATAATTTTCCATTGGGAGATTTCTTAACTTTATCTGACTATTTACCCAGTTTTCAAGCTTTGGTATATTGATTTGCAACCTACTGTTGAATCTCTTGATTTTGTGCTGGATGATTTGTTGTTGTCTTGCTGAGCTTCCTATGTCCTGAAATAGAAGTTCTTCAATTAAACTTGGACAATCAGTATTCTTTCTTTTTATGTGAAGAATGTAAACAACACCTAAGAAATTAATTTCAAATTCTGACTGATTATTTGAGGAAAAGAAAGGATTAAATAAATTTAAATTTCTAGTATACATCATGTCATGCTGTGTAATGAGCTCATTATCTTTTTATGATCCTTTAACTGTATTGGTGATGTTCTCTTTTTATTTACTCTGTTCCATAGCTCAGGTTTGGCATTGTTGAGGATCAGTTGGGCCCTTATTTGTGTAGGAAGCTGCATTCCATTGGTTGGTCTGTGTTTCAGCTTTCTGTTGTGCACAACAATGTGAGTTCATTTCTGCAGAAGTCCTAAGTTAGGCATTCTTCCCCTTCAAACTCTAACTTAGGCATTATTCACCTAATATTTTAATTTCATGGTTTGTGACTTGAGTCTTCTGTATCAGATAGATTCTGTAGCTGAAGAAGTTGAGCGACAAAAATCTAAAAGTGATATGGTACAATACACACCCTTATGAAGTTATATGCGTGAATTTCTTGATGATAAATGATGATGCATCATATTTACCTGTCCTACTTATTGTAGGTATTTATATATGGAGGTGTAGGTCCACTGCATTCAGATGTTACAATAGCAGGCATTGCAAAAGCTTTTGGTGTTCGTTTGGTTCGTTACTTCCTTCAATTGGTGTATTTTTAAATTTTAGGCTGCTATAATCATTCCCTAAATATGCCGTGTCCATCAATATCTGTTTAGAGTAGTTAATACTTCTGTTGCTAGAAGTAGTAGAATAATGCTGTTAACAACATTTAGTTATGGGTTCTGTTATATTGTAATTGTCATTGTATCAGACAATGAGAAAATAATAGCACAATAAGTTCAGAGTGCATGTCAATTTCTTTTTATCTCGGCTTTGTTTAACTATTTCTCAACTTCCCGGAATCTCTATAGCATTGTCAATTGATGATTTGCATTTGATGTAGGCTCCCGATGAAGAGTTTGAAGAATATCTCAGGCATATCATTGGTGACCAGTGTACTGGTGACCGGAATGAGGTAATTAACTTTATAAAATATAGGTTTTTCTTGGGAACTTTAGATGTTTACCTACCTTTTGAGTATGAGACTAATTTTCATTTTGGATACCGAGACAGTCACTCCCCACAAGTTTTTCATTTTGGATACCTTTTGAGTATGCACAATCTAGATCGATATTGACTCAAATTCTAGATTGTGCAGGTCCCTCAACCACTGGTTAATTACTACTTACCAAAATAACCTCATTATCGATCATAGGTTTAAGTTTTAATTATAATTTTTATGGTGTTGTGGTTGAATTACACACTTGTTTGATTTCAGTTGTCTAGGAAACGGGAGGAGATGGTGAGAAATACAGTGTTTTATGGTGAGAAATACAGCGTTTTTTTAAAATAGTTGTACCGTAAGTTAGGAATGTACCAAAAAATGCTTCTTTGGTAGGAACATTTGAACCGTGACTTTATTAATATGGTTTTAAATGCTCATGCGTATAATCATTAAGTTTTTAAGAAGGTCCAATTCTTAACAATGCCACAGCCCAGAGCAAGTCTGTTAGGGCTGCTCATAGTTTCAGACAAGCTTTTTTGAAACTCCTTGTTGTGCTTTGCTTTATATGGTTGGGGTGGGAGGAAGCAATGAGAAATACACTAACAAGATCTAAAGATATAGCCATATATATTTTGATTTCTATATTTCCAACAAGACATCATTCTGCTTCATATTGCACACATTATACTGTCATGATTTTTTTAGTATGTAGTTCATTCGTATTGATTTTTCCTTGCCTTTTCTCCTTTCAGATGGCTCAATTACCCGAGGGCATAACTGAATTATGGCATCATGACAAATTGTCTGTGCCCTTGGTATGTTTTCAGAAGTTCATCAGTGAAAACTGTTTCCTTATATGTCATTCATCAGAAGTTTACTTTCACATTCAGGAGAAACAGAAGGAAAACTTCTGTACTTTTATTAATTGTGACCAACTCCTATATTTTATATGATGAAAATATTGAACCAATAATGTTTTGAAATGTTAGAGATAATAAATGTTTTTTGCAGATCAAGTGCCAAAATGTAATAATTCTTAGTGCAACAAATGTGTCGGAGCTTGAAAAACAGTGGGACTGTTGGATTGAATTAGCAAAATCTAGTGACCTTCTAGCATTGCTGGAACCGTATGTGTCAAAGCACGTGGCAACCAATTTGTCAGATGTATGTACCAAGTAGTAACTTTCATATATCATGATGCATCCACATGAATTCATTCCCTTGTGCTTTGAAGATTATTTGGAATCTTGCTTTTGTTTTTAATATATTTTGGACACAATTACTGCCTTTGTTTAAATTTCAGTTATAAGATGTGTTCTGCAGTTTTTATCTATGGCGTGAGACTCGTCATTATGTGTACATCCTTTTTTTTTTTTTTTTCTATCACTGCTGATTGGCCTATGTAAATGCAAGTACGTAGCATTTGATTTTCCTTCCTTGTTATAAAAATGATTAGTGGCAATTAAGGTGTACTCAAATATCATTGATGAAATTCTTAAATAGTAGCAGCACGAGACAATTTATTCTGATGAGTATGCGGCATTTATGTGCTGTGTTTGTTTTGTTTCTCTGTAATATTTCTTCCCCCTGAGCTCATCTGATTTTACATTGGGACATCTAAACTGCAGGTTGAAATTGCTCAACCTCTGTCAAAGCTTTGCCTTGAATTTCCAGACCTTTATATCGGTATGAAGTTTATGAGTTGTTGTGACGTTTACCAGTATATTACTCATTATCTATCTATATTTCTTACTGTATTTCTTCTTTATAACATGTAGGTTGTTACCGCAAAGCCAGATATGGATCTCTTATAGTAAGCTTCAAAGGAAAGGTACTATTGAACTTCCCAATTCTAGTATCTTTCCTAGGAAAACAAGTTTGCTTGTATATTAACCACCCTTCCTAATTTTGTTACAGGACCTAGCACGCGTTGATTCAGCTATAAAAGCGTTGCACAAGAAGTTTCAACCTGGTGCATTCATTGAGATGAACTAGAATACTAATGTAAATGCTGTGATTCATTTCTTTTGTTGCCAACAGAATGAAAACCTTTCATGGGCTGGGATCTTGTCATTCTGATATAATCTACTAATCTGCATTGGGATAAAGATGGAGTGGGAAGGAAATCAAGGTGCTGCTGTGTTGGTAGATGAAAGAACAAATGGTACAAGCAGGTGGCTGGAGCTTCAATTCTATTGCTATGCACAGCACTTTTAACTACTTCATGGGGGCATGGATAACCTATTGATAACCTATTGATTATTGTAGAACTATTATCAAATTATCTCAACTTACAGCACCAGTTTACAAATATAAAGGTTTTTTCATTGAAAATCCAGCAGCTAAAACTTTAAATTAGCAGGCACGAATTGCATATTCAGCTCTGGCTGCTATATACCTCTTTTTTTATGTTGATTAAACTGTACTTTCTCAATAGTTAGCAAGAAGTAAGCCATTTGGTGTATGAACCATTTTGACAAATTTTTAACCATTCAACAGAGGCATAGTTTGCCAGTGCAGCATCGTTTATTTCCTTTCCTTTTTTTCAACTATTATGCAAGTAGACACCTCTCACACCAATTCTACTGGTGTTCAGTAGTTAAATCCAAATTTGTTTCGTTTGGTTCACCCTTCATTAGATAACGGTGTAAGGGTATTTTTAAAAGAATTTCCTTACAAAAATTATTTATGAATAAAAATATTTATATCATTGTTTTTTTTTTAACAATTTATAGATGAAGTTCATGTTAAAATATATTTTTTCAACTAACTCTTGTAAATAACTATTTTAAAATATGTCTTAAGTGATTAAGTTTAAATTATTCATTTATTGAGAAAGACACCTTCAAAATTTAACTATTTTGTTTTTTTACCATTTACATTATCAATAACCGTACAGTTATCATACGGAGAAAATTTAATTATTTATTTATTTTCTCTTTACAAATTACAATCACAACACGATATGTTGAGTTTGTCTTAAATATTCTTGAAAATATTTATATAAGATTTCTATAATTAAACAGTAACATGATATTTTATCAAAAATCTTAATTATTTATCATATTAAATGACTTAATAAAAGTGATATGACATTTTTATGTCTTTTTTTAACTCAGCAAAATTAGATTTTTACATTCCTAAGTGTGATTGAGAAGGATTATCAACTAACAAGGTTTACTAAAAATATTATTTTTAAAAAAGAACATTCTTTACTTCAAATTTCTAGAAAATCAAACACTTCCCTTAATCACACACATTCTAAATATAAAAATTAAAAATCCTACAATTTCTTGACCAAATAGAGATTTTGTTAGTTGGGATTTGACAGAAGAAACGATGACGGAGGGAAGCTCAAGCATGGTGAATAACCATCAAGATAAGTCAAAGAAAGGGTTGGAAGGCACTGCCTTAGATTTACCCATCAACCGCCATGCCAATTTGAAAAGTGCTATCAGCGACGACGACTTCACCAACCTTCTCGCACACATCAAATCCTCTAAAACCCCCGTAAGCAAAACTACACGCCAATGTTAATGCCATAATCAACCACTACCAATTCCCCTTTATTTCCAACCTTTTCACTCCACTGCATATATTTAATTCTTCTGTTTTGTCACAAAATTTATTGCAGGCTGTTATCAATTATGGCGCTTCTTGGTGCGTTACTGCTTCTCCCTAATAATCTGTGGATTCTTTGAACACCAGGTGTTTGATGTTGGAACTATCTGAATCAATGGAAAGTACAAAGCTTATGGTCTAAATTTTGTTTACATCATGATGGTTGGAAGTTTGTTTTGTTTGGATTTGGAATTATGGTTTTAAACGATGATAACAGTAGAGGGGGATGTGGTTATAACCCAAGTGGCGTGCGTTACTTAATGACAAATGCTACAATACTGCTTAAAAAAATTAAAAATGGAAGGTTTTTTGTTTGATCGCGTAAGAATGCGTTTTCCCATGTTTATTTAAATGTACTTCCAATCAAACTTTCTCCTTGGGGAGGGATTATAATTCAGGTGGCCTTACTTGATGACAAATGTTAAGAATACTTGCCTAAGAAATTAAAGATGATTTTTTTCTTATAACGTGTAAGAATGCTTTCTTCTATGATTATGCACTCCGAACAAAAATTTTCTCCTTAGCGAGTGCTCAAGGACAGTGATTAGGAAGATCCTTAGTTTCTTGCTCAAGGTTGAAAGCCAATGAGGTGTAATATAGTTGACACCTAATCATATCCCCCAAACATGTTTTCATATGTTCAATCTCCATCTTTGTGTGTATAGAAAAATGAATGTTGATAGAAGTGAGTTCTTAAAATAACTTTTTGTATTTGAGAAATTAGTTTCCGACTCTTGATTGCAAGATTTCCCATGCACCCAAAAGAATAATTTATTGTTTTTCATCAAAGGAAATTAAAGTGGCAATTAGAGTTGTAAGTATGAATTATAAGGTCATTAACAATGCATTTAATGCCTTAATCTTTTTTTGATATGAAGGAATCCATTATTAACTATTGTTTCCTGGTTTTTCAGGTGTCGCGTCTGTAGCCAAATTCTCCCAGCATTCTGTAGACTGAGCAATAATTATCCGAAGCTTACCTTTGTGTATGCAGACATTGATGAATGCCCGGAAACAACTCAACACATTCGCTACACCCCCACCTTCCAATTTTACCGGAATGGTGAAAAGGTAGATGAGATGTATGGCACTGGAGAAGAGAGGCTCCATGATCGCCTGTGGTTGCACTCTTAACAACTCCACATAAAAGAAACATTATGTTTGCAATTTCTATCGATGTAAGTAGCATTGTCGATCATGAACGAGTTTGTGAATGGTAGAACTAAACCTTGTTATTCCATGTCTCCAAAAGAATTTTAAGTTCCAATAAAAAAAATGTTTTTTATCCCTCAGAAAGTTAAAATATTGTTTTGATATCAATTATCATGTGATGCTTGTTAACATATCCAGTACTTAGCTAAAGGTCAAATGATTATTCCAATAACATTTATGAGTGTTTGTGGTATAGTGTCAATAATGTGATATCTTTAAAAGAATATCTTGATTCTTAAAACAAATTTTATTTATTTTCTTTAAAATGAAATGTAGAGATCAAAGAAAAGGGTAATTTTAACTTTCAGAGGGATTAAACCAAAGAATTTTACAATGACAAACTAAAATCCGTTTATTTTATAGGAACTAAAATCAATAACTTCAACATATAAAAAGATAAAGCATAAAAAAAATTGTTTTATAAGGACGGAAATCAAATCACATTCATTTAATAGGGATTTAAAATATATGTAAGTAAACTGTGGTTTTCATGAAGTAAACAATTACAGAAACTGACACACGCAAAATTAAAATGGACAACATTCTATGTCTACACCAGCCACACAAAGATGAAGAAAGATGTCGACTCCCTCTTCTAGTGCAAGCTGTGAAAAGTATCTTCAAAAAGATGTGTACGCAAAGAAACTTTATTTTCCTTTTATCCAAAATCTGAAAGATAGCTACGATGATAGCCACAAGTAGCGATGAATTTCATCAAGGGTGGCTAATTCAAGCCTTAGGCTTGAGGATCTTCACGGTCTCCCAAGTGAAATCAGGATCATCACGTCCAAAATGCCCATAAGCAGCTGTTTTCTGGTACCTGCAGTTGCCTCCTCTCATCAGATCAAGATTGATGGCAATCATACCTGGCCTGAAGTCAAAATTCTCCTTGATCAGAACCAAGATGTCCTTGTCTGCAATCTTTCCCGTTTTGTATGTATCTACAAACACGGAAAGTGGCTCTGGGACCCCAATTGCATAAGAAACCTGCACAATACAACGCCGAGCCAGTCCTGAAGCTACCACACTCTTGGCTGCTTGCCTGACAATGTATGCGCCACTCCTATCAACCTTGGTTGGGTCCTTACCGGAGAAGGCACCGCCTCCATGAGCGCCCCAACCACCATAGGTATCGATAATGATCTTCCTTCCAGTGAGTCCTGCATCTCCATGGGGTCCACCAATCACAAACCTACCGGAAGGATTGAGGTGGAAGATAGTCTTGTCATCAAGGTATTTGGTTGGGATGACAGGTTTGATCACTTGCTCTTTCAATTCTTTAGCAATTTGCTCATTTGTAACGGTTTCATCATGCTGAGTTGAGATGAGGACTGTGTGGACCCGGATAGGAACCATGGCTCCATTGTCGTTCTTGTACTCAACTGTCACTTGGGTTTTACCATCGGGCCTCAGCCAGGGGCATGTTTTGTTCTTTCTCACTTCAGTGAGCTTGGCACCAAGTTTAGTAGCGAGTACATGAGTGAGTGGCATTAGCTCCGGTGTTTCGTCTGTGGCATAGCCAAACATGTGGCCTTGGTCACCTGCACCAATTTCCTCTGGCTTTTTGGTCAAGTGACCGTGAACTCCTTGAGCAATATCAGGGCTTTGTTGCTCAATGTTGACCAGAACTTTGCAATTGTCAGCATCAAGACCAACATCAGGTGACACGAACCCAATGCCTCTGCAAGTATCTCGAACTATTTTCTCATAGTTCACATTCGCCTTGGTTGTTATCTCACCAAAGACCATAACCATGTTAGTTTTTGTACAGGTTTCACACGCAACCTTGCTGTCTCGGTCTTGCTCCAAGCATGCATCCAGGATGGCATCTGAAACCTGGTCACACAACTTGTCGGGATGACCTTCGTTTACAGATTCTGAGGTGAAGAGGAAAGTTTCCATCTCTGGTGTTAAGAAATAAAAAAAAAAAAAAGTGGTTAAATTGTGCTTGGAAAGAAACTACGAAAACAATTAACTTGACAATGTGGTACATATTATATTGCATTGACCTAAAATCTTGGTTTTATTACAAGAATTAAGAGCTTAAATCAAATGATAAATGTTTAATTTTTGCTGCACCTATTATAACATGCATGTTTACTCTCACCTGTTATAAAACATTCATATTTATTAATGTACAATTTTTACAGTCAGCCAAATAAAAAAAAGTCTAATATAACTTTTCACTAATGATAAAATTCAATCAATTTATGATATATGATGATTTTGATTTTAGAGTTGATGGAAAAATGTAGATTGTTTATACATTATGAAATTACTTTTTTGTGAAAAAAAAAAGACTTTTCCTTTTTGTATAAAGTTCCGGTGTAAAGAAAATGAAATACAAAAATATTAAATAACTTCATTTGAAATCTTAGGATTTTAAGCAGATCTGTGAAAATAAATAAATTGCAGTAACTCTACTCAGATCCATAGTTAAATATTCAAGAAGTGAATCTCATGATGAGGAAAGGAAGAGGTAAGATAGTTGTAGTCATTTTCTTTTTCTTAAGAAAAAGTGACACATTTATTGTGGCCTCCAAGTGTGGGAATGTTTGCGAAAGCTACATCCGGTTGCATTATACACAAACAAATCTCAAACCACATATCACATGTTTGAACTCAATTATCACTTCTATAGAATTGCCATTGTCTCCGTTCTAGAACTACACCATTTTCAAACGTAAACAAAGAAGCACAAAGGCAACAAACAGAGAATACACGAGCCAACATCGATCTACGAATGCGGCAGAAACAAAAGCAGTATACCACCATCACATGAATCAACAGATCCAATTAAGTCGAAAATGGTAACAAATTTGCATGCACTAGCTATTTTAAGAAACCTAATTAATGGAAATAGAACAAGCAGAAACAAATACTCCTTGAATTATCGTAACAAATGATATCAAGAGTTACTGGATCTAAAACAGGATGCAAAATAAAACGCAGGCATTGTTTCAAGATCCGATTATGAATTCTAAAAGAATGAATGTAAGAAAAGTGAATTGTATGAGGTGAAAGTAGAAGAGATACATACCAAGAATAGGTGGGGGTTTGAGCGAAGAAGAAGAAGAAAGGGGCACGAGAAAGTGGAAAGGTGAAGAAAACAACAATGAAGGGAAAAGAAAGGTGTGTGTGTGTATATATATATATTGACACACACGTACTACGCTTTCAGGAAAATAGACGAATGACTCGCTCACATTTCTCTCCTACTTTTAACTCTCATTCTTTATTTTTGTAAATAAAATTACCTTTTTTTAGGTTGCTTTGTTACTACTTTTACTTGTTTCATAATGCTTAGCAACTTCTCATTTTCTAGAACATATATTATTAATATCTATTCATGTAATTTTTACAATCTATATTTTTCCTTCTCTCTAAATTTTATTTTGCTGTCCTTTTTTTTGTTCTGATCAATTGTGCGATTTTGAAAATTGCTTCCATAATTTTTAGACCAGCCAATGGATTTGACTCATTAATTTTGAAATTAAATTAAAGAAGAGAACTTAACTTTGTGTAGACCAACCTTCCTGATTGGAAGATAGTTACCATGGTCCTTGTGCAGGAAAAAATATTTATGGCTAAATCAACCATTACTACACAAGTTTAATTGGTAATTGATCCCAATTGAATTCCAAATGCTCCATGAATAATTTGACTACATTTTTTTGTATGTAATAAAAAAAATATAGTATTTTTTAAGACTTGGACCATTATATTCTCTTTATAGTCAGCTTCTCGAGTCATTGATTAATTTCTAATTATATATATATATATATATATATATATATATATATATATATATATAGAGAGAGAGAGAGAGAGAGAGAGAGAGGCTTAATCTATCATGATTTTTTAAAAATATGATAAATTCTTAGTTAAGAGAAAATAAATTCACATATTTTTAATAAAATTCAAAGTAATTTTTTTATATAAAAAAGCATAGGAAAATTAAATCAATTTTGTGGAAAGTATAATAACTAAAATTGAAGAGGTTTTGATTTTTATAAATATAAAATGTAGAAGCTAAAAATATAGTTTTAAATTTTTATACTTTCCAAAATGGGAACATGAGACTCAATCATTTTTAAGTCAAAATTAAAACTTTCAATTTTAGATAGTGTGAATAGTGGACTAATTTTGAATTTCTGATTTCTTGAAAAAGGTAAATTGAGTCAAACTAAAAAAACTTAAAAATAATCTTTTAATAAAGTTTTTTAAATAAAAATGTTGACTTTACAACTAAATCAATTATAAATCAATTTTGATATGAATTTTAAGATATTTATTGTAAACTTTATGAATTTATTAATAATATTTTGTAATGGACTCATGGCTTGCTTTGCGCTGTAAATGCATACCTTATATTCTATGAAATTTTTTAATTTTTAGAAATTCAATGTACACTTTTTATCTATAATAATAATAATAATAAAAATAATAATAATAATAATTATTATTATTATTATTATAACTATATATATAAAGAGGATTTCTTTTATAATTATTTTTTTTGTTATTGGAAAAATAAAAGTAAAGATGTTATAATTTAATGGAAAATTATTATTTACATATTTAAAAAATAAAAAATATGAGAAATAGAAAAAAGTGAATATATTTAAAGAATATAATAAAAAATTAAAAAAATCTTTAAAAAAATAATTGTAACAAATATGGGTACGCCTTTAATTTATGTGTTTCTACTATAAAGAGGATTTCTTTAATAATCGCTCTTTTAGTGTTACGTGAGAGAGAAAAATAAAATTATTATAATTTATATATTTATAAAATAATAAAAATACAAAAAAATATATTAAAAGAGTAGAAAAATAAAATAAAGTTTAAAATAATATTAAAAAAATAATTATATAAAAATATATGAACGTAACTTACGTGTTTTCACTTGTTTTTAAGTATGTAAATTCTGTCGTTCTTAACTCAGATATTTTTGAAACTTTATTTCTTCAGACCCACACTGATTAAGTGGGTTATGAAAACAAAAAAGGCTCAGCCCATCATTGCAAGATTGGAACCATGGACTTAGGCTTATTGTGGGCCAGATTGGACCATTCATTCTCTCTCTCTCTCTCTCTCTCTCTCTCTCTCTCTCTCTCTCTCTCTCTCTATATATATATATATATATATATATATATATATCTTTAAAAAGTTAAAAACAAAGTTATCTGAATTTCATGAAATAAAAAATAATTTAGTTTTTTTTTATCAATTTTATTATTATGAATATATATTAACTTTTATAATTTTAAATATTTGTTAAAAATCTATATGTCCAGACTCCAAGATTCTTTCAAATCTTACATATGTATAAAATCCTTTAAAAATTTATAATTTCTTTAGTAGTGATAGATGAATTGATTAGTTAATGTTAACAAACTTTAAGGATATCTATTTAAATAATCAATCTATAAATAAATATATTCTTTGATTTAATAATTTTTTTTGATAATTTTTAATATTTATTTTTATAATTGTTATTGTACTTTCATGTTAAAAGAAAAAAGTAAATAAAATATTATTATGTAGTTTTTAAAAATGCTATTGATATATATATATATATATATATATATATATATATATATATATATTATTTTATATATTTAATACAAATTTTAATATTTAAATAATCCATTCTTTCACTCGGACAAAATTTTTAATTCGTTTTAAAATATCCGGCACCCTAATATTAATATCCTTTATACTGTATAAAAATTATCGACAAATAATAATTAAATTTAAATAAATATAATTTAAAAGATAAAATATATTTATTACATTTTACTTAAAATCAATGGTTAAAATATTTAACAACTTCAAAAATAATTATCAAAGAATTGTGTTGTATCAAAAATCATATACGTACGTGTAAGAATGGTGTTTTAACTTTTTACTCTTGGAATTTTCAAATGCAAGATCTATTGTGTTTTTTAATTTGAGATGAGAACTATGAACACATTTTGTTACATACTTTTATCACACATTTTTTTATAATTTATTAAAAATTATAAAATGAAAAAAAGAGAGTATTTAAATAAGTTATGTAGCCTATTTTTTTTAATGATTTTCAATAAATTTCAATAAAAAATATATATTCAAACATAAAAGATGAGAATGTTTTCATTATTCTACGTGTGACTATAGAATATCATGATCTTTATATAAAAGAATGATATATCATCTTTCATGTTTTTTTGTGTTCGTTAATCTTCATGTTCGTTTAATTTAGAAGATTTGCTAGAAATAATATATTTTTTTCGAAGATGATTTTATTCTCATACTCAAATTAAATTTCACAAATAATATATAAAAATTTATTTTAAGAATGTGGTAAAAAATCTTCGTTAAAAGAAGGAATATAATAAAATTTATGTGAATTAAAAATACAATAATATTAATAAATATATATATATATATATATAAAGTATTTTATAATTTTTTAATAATAATAATAATATATGTAAATTTATTATACCGAAAGATTTAAAATAAAACTCAACATGCCATAAAACTAAATCGAATTAGCTTTAAAATGTTAATATATTTAAATGAATTTATTTTCCAGTAAACTTCACTTAAAAGTTCATGAAAAGGAAGAAAATCTACAAATGAATGGTTGGTGGAGAACAGACATAGGCCTGAAACGTGACACATGACATAGTCTCATCCCACATTGAAATGTCAAACACATGTACAAAGTACGTAAATTTATCAAATAAAGAAATTCATTATTCTCGAATAATTCTGAAGATTGTTTCCTAAAATTAAAAAAAGTAGGAAATGTTAAAATCAAACAGATCCTAACATTTTGTACATCCATCAATGTTTTGATAGAGGTTTGATTGAGAAAATAGTACACAATAATGTTACTTTGGGATTTA